GGAGGAAAGAACAAGTTAAACACTCCAACTCTTACACATATATGCATGCTTACAGTTTTGTGAAGAGAAGGAGGATACAATATGTGTCTTTCACTCAAGGTATAAACTAGGTAGTTGAAATGCAACTTAATGGTTACTCAAAGTGGCCAAAATATTATACACAACTTTAATAATGATACCATATGATGTTAGCTAGTTTTTATTATATTTTGTTATTATTTCCTAGAAACAATAATTCTTAATACGCTGGCAAAATATTATTTTCATAAAGTAATGCTTTTCTAATTAAATACAAGATTGCTCTAATAAATAATTAGTTAGTACTAACTTGCTATAAGCACCACTAGAAAACAACCCTTTAATGACACCCGGACAATGACACATATTATTTTATGATATGCAAGAGTCAGTACCCTAAAAATAATATCAGCTCTCCCAAATTTGAAGGATTTAGGGCACACATATTTGTGAGCCCTAATATTGGCGTCGTTTTATAATTTTTTTCTAAAGAACATGTGTTTAATATCAATGGGGAAATGAAATCTTGAAATTTTTTGAAGACCCCACCTTCCTCAACTTCTGCCCATTATCCACCTACGTACGACCTTCACTATCTGTCTCCCTGCACTCTGCAAAATCTAAGTCGCCTCCACTACGATAGAATCCCCTGTATTTCAGATCGACATAGGAGACAAAATTAGAAGCACTTTTTCCCATATAAGGAGAGAATAGAACAGCTATGTGGTTTTATGTTCATCTTCTTCATACTACCACTCCATCAACTGCAATTAAGCTCGGTGCTCAATTCAATCATGCAACCAAAAGACCTGCGTCATTTTGAATAAATAAACTTTACATTGAACTGCCTAGTCACCTACATATACATGCTTTTATAAATTGAAATTTTGAATTCTCAAACTCCAAACATCTGCACTAATTATCTCGCAAAACCCTAATCATGAACTTCGAGCATAGGTAAATTATTGCCCATGTATTTTCATTTAGAAATTAAGTTGTATTAATTACTTATTTCTTGAGGAAAAATCGTTAAAATAAGCCATGGAAGATGCAAGTCTACATATCGTTTTGTTTTTAAAGTAAGGCATAACAATATGTTAACCTAAAATCAAGGAAGTATCATGCACAAGTTGCTCTGAATAAATTGAATTCTATCTTTTAATGGTTGAATGAGTAAAAAATATAGTTATAGGTTTAGCTATTGAAGAAAAAAAGATAAACTATGATCCAAATGTCATCAACACAAATCAAAGACTAGAAGCGGATCTTATACGATTTGAAATTGATGCAAATAAAGTTCATATAACACTTAAATGCATCAATTTCTTTAATGTTATTTTTTTGTTAAATAATCAAATCTTTTAAGGGTTTTTGTTACAATTTATGTAGAATACAATATGCTACACTTGATGTTCAATGGCATGCATATGAGGTGTTCGACAAAAAGCCTAACTGAAATTTTTATTCTAAATCTTGGAAATTTGAATATAAACTAGTCCCTCTTTGGTTTGTACAATCCCATTGCAAAAAAGGCTACATTCTTAGATAAGTTTTGTCATGTAGAATTTTATGCTGATAAAACAATATGTGTTTTCTAGATGTAATTTAATTATTGTTACACTGGTAGGAATTTGTATGGAGAGAGTAAGGTTAGCAACTGATTTTTAAGAAAGGATGTGAGTAAGCTCATCATCCAAGGGGACGTCAACACCAACCAGAAGTTAGTCCATAGAAAAAACATTCGAAGGGAACATTGGCACCAACCAGAAGTTGGTCCATAGAAAAAACATTCGCCCCGAACCCGACGAGATGCAAGTACAACCCGGTTGGATTACCAAATGATGTAGGAAGAGTCTTAGTGGAAATAACCCATTTTACAACCATATCGTGGGGAGCAATCTCACCAGATACGTAAGAAGACAAGTTGAACATGAATTTATTCTTCCTTACAACATTACATGCAATCAAAAGTAAATATAAGGAACATTAAAGGTGAGAATTCATTAAATATAAAAGTAATGCCCAGTTAAGTTACAAATTTAAGGAAAAACAAGAATAACGTTCATCTACCTAGAGGCTAGAGGATTCACTCATAAGATGGGCCCCTGATCATCAGCTTTCCATATAGCAATCATGCCGAATAAGGAAAGTACAACTTTGGGAAAGAAACACGTTTTGATATAGTATCTAGAAAATAAAGAAAGAAATCTATATAATCTTGGAGCTAGAAGAGTTTCTTTATTTGCATTTAGCACGACCCAAGGATATTAGGAAGACAAACGCTACTTCAATCCACCTAAAAGATTTCCTTTCCATCCCATGTTTGTTCCTGGAAGACTGTGAACCAAAAGGAAATGATGGCTACTAAAAGCATATCAATTATCATATTTCTTCAAATGATAGAAATATCGAAACAATGATACACATAAAGGTATACGAGATGATACACAAAACACCTCAAATGCAATAACCTTGGAGACAACATTGGGACACAAATGAATCAGATGGACACCATATGAACATAGTACTTCTATGAAAAAAGGATCTAGGAGGAAGTCTTAACCTAGAAACAAGGTGTCTCAAGTAAAACCCTAGTTTTCCCGTCAAAGGTTCAAGAATGGAAGCCGAAGAAAAAGGCAATGTAACACCATGCACAACAGATAATTGGTACTTGTGAACATACCGATTTAATGTAAAGTTGTCACCATTGGAAGAAATGGATGACATGTCAAAAGCGATGGAAGAAGAAGACGTGGAAAAGGAAAGAAGTACAAAATAAGGAAGATTCCAAAATCATATTATACATTATATAAAGATAAGAACCATTTAAACATTAATTAGTCAATCTAATCAACCAAGTCAATGTGACTAACCAGCGGTTGGATGCATTTAATTAAGCATGTTACTGAGTCATGTGCAATGGTTTGTTTACTGGGAGCGATCATAGTCTAAACGGAAAAAATTTGACTCCATTTTTACCCTTCAGATTGGGGAACTTAATTGTGTACTCAAGTCAGCTAGATATATAAATACCGACCTTGCATCCTCCTAACTCAACAATAAGAAGTAACCTCTATTATACAAGAATGAACCAGAAGTCAATAGCAACACACATCGGAAAAAGATCATATGGAAAACAAATCCCTAGAAAAACACAACGTACAGATATTCATAATAAACATATATAAAGCAGTACAAGGGAAATAGTTGTCCTTACTTGGACTACTCAGGAAACCAAGTAAGAGCCTAAACTGATAGACTTTCGAATGCCTATAAAAGTCAAGCATCACCAAATGAAAAAGGTAGAACTTTCTCACCATAAACAATTTAGCAATACTTTAAATCGACATCTAACTTAGGTATCGGAGAAAAATACCGGGGTCCATCCTTCGGTATTGTTTTATAACCTAGCATTTGTTTATTTTATAGCATGCCTTCTTATTTCTACATTAGAAGATAGATAACCCAATTGCTATCAGGTATCCAGGAGGATACGTAACAACATATATTAACATGGAAAAACACATGATCTTATTGTTGACTAACGAATAAACATGGCTTACTAGTCACTTATATATAAAGTAAACAAAATCAAAAAACAAAGACCTAATTTTCAAAACTAATCACCTGGCAGAAGAACCGGAATCAGGAACTAAATCAAATGTAAGTTAAAGGGAAAATGTGATCCCATTGTTGTGGAATACAAGATCCGTATGAAATGTGGTGGTCGCAGACATATTGCTCGACATCTTATGCAAGCTACTGAGGCAGTCTTGAACCTGCTAGCAAGTCGTGCACATCGACAAATCAACACTAGAATTCCTCCTGACAAGGCCATGGGAGATCAATGAGAGATTCGAATTGTGGTGAGGTCATGTGTCTTTATATCATCAAATCTATCCACCTTCCGTGATCTCTATGATCTATATTGATAGTTTACAGCCAACCCATCAAACGGACCTCATGTCTCTTCTTAATCTTTGTGGTTCTCAATTGGCATGCATTATAATTAAATTGCTAATTTATATTTATATTATATGATGATAAAATCTTTTTTAAGAATATATATATATATATATATATATATATATATATATATATATATATATATATATATATATATATATATATATATATATATGTGTGTGTGTGTATATGTACACAACAAACGATAACCACGTCTTTACGGTCTTCTCGTCTTACTTGTGACCTCTTCCTTAAGCTTTCTTGGTTACCCTTTTTGTCCTCATTTTATTAATTTCTAAGTCTATTCGATCTTGATTTTCTCATTTAAGATCTTTCTAGAAATCAAGAAATACTACATGCTAGTGGTCAATAGAATTAATCATGTATATCTTTATTATAGAACGGAAATCAAGAACTTACTTCTAAATATTAAAGTCAAATATATTTTATAGAAATATCATATGTACTCGCACTTTCTACCCTTTTTGACACATATTTAGGTAGGAAACATGATGGAAATCAAATAATTTTATAGTGTCAGTGTAACGCAATTATGTATCTATACATACATAATACCATTTTAGTAATATCTTAAGCTTGAAAGAAACTTATAAGTATTTTATCATAATATATATGTTGAAAGTTGAAACAATGCAAAATATTATTTTTTACATTTGTCTCACAAAATAGTAATAGTTATTGATTATCATATACTTCATAATCATTCGGCGTGGTTTATTTTATGTCTATATATTTAGTGAATAATATAAACATAAATGTAGATACAGATAGACAGATATGATATAGTTTTATTTCTTTCTTAAAGGCTTTCCACCTGTAAGCGAGTGAAAAGCATGTCGTAATTTATAAAGCAAGTGGCCACCGGAACACAACACTTACCAGGACCCACCTCCTCCATCTCCCCCACTCCTTTATATCCTTCCCTCCAACACTCTTCACTTCCAGGGCTCCAATTATCATCCCCATTCTTTGATAATAAGCTCTGTTCATCATCAATGGCGTCGCCGCCGGACACCAGTAAAACAACAAAGCTTGAACGCTACAACAGCTACATAAGAAGAGTCAATAGCACCAAGCTCTTAGCTGCATCCTCCAAGCTTCTTTTTCGTGTTACCCTTTTGGTTGCTTTAGTCTTGATCTTTTTCTTTACCTTTAACTACCCTCCGCTTTCCGATAACCCTACCCCCGCCGGCCACCATGTTCACACCACGTCCCACCTTCTTTCCTCCGCGTTTTACGGGAGTGGTGCGTCATGGGAGAAGGAGGTGAGGCGTTCTTCCACCCCTCGTCGCCCAAATGGGTTTTCTGTGCTTGTCACCGGCGCCGGAGGTTTTGTTGGCACACACTGCTCTCTTGCTTTGAAGAAACGCGGTGATGGTGTTCTGGGTTTGGATAATTTCAATACTTACTATGATCCGTCGTTGAAACGCGCTAGACAGAAGGTCTTAAAGCAACACGAGATCTTCATCGTTGAAGGAGATCTGAACGACGGCGAGTTGTTGGCGAAGCTTTTTGACATTGTTCCTTTCACCCATGTCCTTCACTTGGCTGCTCAAGCGGGTGTTCGTTACGCCATGGAGAATCCACAGTCTTACGTTAGCTCCAACATTGCTGGATACGTGAATCTCTTGGAAGTCGCGAAAAACGCAGATCCACAGCCGGCGATTGTCTGGGCTTCCTCTAGCTCCGTTTATGGATTGAACACCGAGAACCCGTTCTCGGAATCTGATCGGACCGATCAACCGGCAAGCCTTTACGCCGCCACAAAAAAAGCAGGAGAGGAAATCGCTCACACCTACAACCACATCTATGGTCTCTCCATTACCGGACTTCGATTCTTCACCGTTTATGGGCCTTGGGGTAGACCAGACATGGCTTACTTCTTCTTCACTAAAGACATACTTCAAGGGAAACCTATCAATGTTTACCAAACTCACGACAACAAAGAGGTGGCGCGTGACTTCACGTACATCGACGATATCGTGAAGGGATGCTTAGGGGCTCTTGATACGGCGGAGAAAAGCACCGGAAAGGGTGGGAAGAAGAAAGGTCCGGCGCAATTGAGGATATACAATCTAGGGAATACGTCGCCGGTGACGGTGGGGAAACTGGTGTCAATATTGGAGAGTTTATTGAACGTGAAGGCCAAGAAGCATGTGATCAAGATGCCAAGAAACGGCGACGTTCCTTTCACTCACGCTAACGTGAGCCTAGCGTATAAAGACTTCGGGTACAAACCCACCACCGATTTGTCGAGCGGGTTAAGAAAATTCGTTAAGTGGTACGTTAGTTATTACGGCATTCAACCAAGGGTAAAAGGGTCAAATGACTCAGCTTGATCTCAAACCATTATAAAAACTTTCTGCTTCTTTTCTGTTTTTTTTTTCTTTTTTCCATTTTGCCACTTTTTAAGTTATAATTTTCCTTTTAAATCGATCAGAAAGATTGATGCCATTGTATGGAAATCCAATATTGTTGTATCATAGTTTACCGTATATGTATACATACCACATATGATAAGAAGAAAGATAAATGGAAATGGAGGTGGGGAAGTGTAGATTTGAGAAGTGGAAGGGTTCAAGTTGTAATATTATATTGTTAGATGTAAATTTGAACATAATTGATTTGTACCCACAAAGCAAAGGGAAGAGATCAAGCTATTGGATTCTGAAAGTTTAAAGAAAAATTGGCATCAAAAGTTCTATTTATATTTCTTTGTTTAATTTTGGTAATTATTTTTGCTATAGGTTAATAGAGTTTTTTGCTTTATGATGATTGGATGTAGCTTTAAAAGATGCCTTACATTACAATGATTGAAGAGGGCTGAGTTGTCTACAAATAATAATAGTTCGGTGCCAATCTAGCAAAAATATGTGTCACTTTAGTTTACTTTAATTTGCAGTTGGGACTGTTTAGTGTCGGTGGACAAAAAGAGGAAAGCCAAATTGCATCCTTTTGCACTTTCATATGTACTATGTTTTTACTTTTGATTGCTCTAAATTTCATGTTGATACTCTCGTTATACCATCATTGTTGCACAACGTACTACAAACTATACCATAAAAGGTTAGAAAAACATTTATTTTTAATATTTTGGTTTGTTAAGTTTTTTATAAATAGCAAAAAGACAATAAACGCATACTCATCTTTATCTAAAACTTATTCAATAGCTTTTGACGTGATAATATCTTTTCATGGTTAGTCAAGAAAAAAAAAAAAACAAAAAAAAATATTCTCATTTTCTTCAACCACTTCTGATAAACACAACCACAATCACAACCGCTAACAAAGACCTCACCACCATCATCAATGCCGACGACGTGATATCAGATCTTGAACTGCCATTATCTCTTCTCTAATGCATCTCTAGTGTAATGCCGCCATCTCCTACCATCGGTGAACTATCGTCATCAATGTATCTTCGGTGTACTGTCGCGATCTCCTATCACCAGTGAACTATCCTCGCCAATCGTACAAGCTCCAACTGGTTCCAGATCTGAGATTTCCACCTCTGATCTACAATATTCGCCTCTAGATCTACGTTTTTTCTACTGCATATCTATGATGTTATGGTGAGGATCCACCACAACCACCTCCTTCGTGATCTTCTTTATCTCCACCTTCTTTTGGATTTGTGGTTCATGTTTCGTCAAACTTTTCTGGTAGCCGACTTCATCAGAGCAAATCTAAGATATGAAGCCAAAGAAATTGTTTGGTGGTCAGATCTTAATAGAAAAGATGAAAACTCACATTCTCCTAGTGGCGGGTGGTTGTTTCATTATCGTCTCCTCTATCGACATCATCACCACTATCGACTCCTCCGATGACTTCTGTTACCGCCTTTTTTAGGTTTCACAACTTATTTAATCGTGTCAAGTCTTGTATGCGAATGGTATCACAATTTATTCATGAAATAGTCTTTATTGTTTAGTTTCGTATACGATCTGACTATTGCATTTTCTATATTTTATTTATAACTTAGGTTCGCATTTTAGCATGTTGACATGCATTTCCTAACCTCATTGGTGAGAGCCTAACTAATTTTTCTCTCACGTAGTATATATAGGATAGTTTGTTAGATAGAGAGAGTATCTTTTGGAGATAGGTTCTTGCATCATTTTGTACTGAACTCGTTTAGCCTTAAATGAAATCCTCCATCTTATTTACCTTATGTGTTCACTAAATTTGATCATTTTCTTCCATTGTGTATTCAGATTAGAATCTATTCATTCATATTATTTCAACAAGTGGTATCAAAGTAGGATTTACCTGAGTTGTTTTCAAATCCCCAATTTTCTCGAAGTTCTTCGTGTTCTTGGATTTTTACTCTAAACCTTCGATTAATTTCGCATTTTGCAAATCTTGTTTGCATTATGATTTTTGATTCTTGTTCAAATCTTTGCTTCTTTTTGAAATTTGTTATGTTGCTCATAGATTTGATTTTAATTTCATTTCTATGAAAAAATCTCTGGAAAACATATCTAAAGATGTTTCTCACTCGATTTCTGTAAATCTCTCTAGTAGCATTGGTTCTACTACTAGGATTCCGATTTTTTTCTTGAAGATTATGAAGTTTGAGTTCTTCACTTTGAAGATTATATTCATAGCATTGAAACTCATGGATGTAGCATCTGGCACACAATCAAAAAGAGCCTTACAAATACATGAAAACAAAAGAGATTTTCAACACTCCAGCACAATTGGACAACATCATTGCTGATGACAAAGACAGTCAAAAAGATGAAAATGATCAATTGGAAAACAATCTAAGAGCAAAAAGAGAATTACGATTCATCTTCCACTAGGCCTATTCAGATTGGTAAGTTCTCCTAAAACTGCTAAGGAAATTTAGGATAGACTACAAGAGTTATATTCTAGAGATGATGATCTCAAACATTTTGTTCATACTACTCTTCTTTATGAATTTGGTGCTCTTAAGAAAAAATTTGATGAAACTCTTGATCAAGTTGTTAATCGTTTCAATCACTTGCTTAGTCGAATGTTGAAGTATGGTCTAAAGTTATATATATATATATATATATATATATATATATATATAATATATATATATATATATAGAGAGAGAGAGAGAGAGAGAGAGAGAGAATGAGAGAAAGAGAATTGAGCAAAAAGTAACATTCATGAACGATCTAGAATGTGAATGGAAATCTATAATTTGTACTATCAAATCTCATGAATAGTTCAAGAACTACAGTCTAGCTAAAATGGTTAGGATTTTGAGATCTTTTGGGTTTCAAAATATTAGGTTGTGTCATGTCTTGTGTGACAACCCAAAACTTTTATCCTGTACAATCTATCTTTATATCAAAACTTTCCCAATTCCGTTACCTTTTAACGCCATTTAAAGGTTCGTTTAAGTGTTCTAATCATGAGTACAACCAGGGTCGAGATTAGGAATGAGTCCGCACGTCATTTAGAAGCAAAATCAGGCCATACACACTAATGAGAGGTGTGTACGGCCGCACACCTATCCCCCAGCAGCACACTCCCCTCTATATATAGAGGAGGACCCCTTCATTTTTTTCTTTCTTTGGCTACACTCTACATCTCTCTCTACTTTCTCTCTCTAAAAATCTCGTCCAAAGAACACTCTAAGGGCCTCAAGAACATGAACCAACTCATCAATCAACTTATTATACTGGTAAAACACCTGAATCTAAGCTTAAAACTCGTAGTGTTCTAAGTATTCTTCATCTTTTGAAGGAGTGCGGCCGCACACCTTCATAAGGTGGCCGCACACACCTTAAAAACTCTCCAAAGTGAAGAGTTTGGCCTTCATTTACTAGTAAGACTTGGTATTAGTACAAGAATACCTCAAAAATCGACATTTTGGGCACAAATTAGGAGTGTACGGCCGTACACTCCTCTGTACGGCCACACACACCCTCTGTACGGCCGCACACTCATGTGTGCAACCGCACACATAGCCTGGCCGCACACGCTGGCCGCATACACACCCTTTTGGCCATACACCTCCCTTGTTTGATCATATAGGGTCCCGAGAAGCATTTCCAAGTCCTTAGGGTTGTTTCCCGTCATGATTAATCATGAAACACCCTAATTCTAACACACATATGTGTTATCGCATGTTAATAAGATCCGATTGCGTACAAAACATCAGTTGATACGCAGCATTCGTAACCGATCATACACCCAAATCCTACATCAAACTGTGAGTTCATACCCCTACACTTTTCCGAGTTTTTCATGTTTTCAAGGGGGAATACAAGCTAAACATAAAGGTTTTCACAACTTAAAAACTGATGCAATTACAATAATTTTCTATCAAACGTTTAGATACAATTATCCCTTTTGTATTATGCGAAGCACAGGGGATGTTTTCAATTCATAATTGCATAGTTTTCAAAACCATACACGAATCTAACAACCATTCAAACTATAATAGGTATAGATTGGGATTTCATTACCAGTCTTACAGGTTCAAACTTCATGCAAGGTCAAACATATAAACTATGTCAGATTTAGTTTATCCATTACTACGAATACAAAACTAGAGTATCATGCTAAATAATAATTTTTAATTATTTATACTCTACACCATTACAAATGATTTCGAACTCGAGAACAACCGAACAATAAATCCCCTCAGGGTACCAATAAATCCTCGCCTTTTAGTATAACCAGAGTCTCCTGGAGTGTGACAACCCGAAATTTCTAGCTTACATTCTTCTTTTATATCAAAGTTAGCTTCATTTTGCTAATTTATAATGAAGTTTTGGTTCTAAAAGAGTTCTTAAAGCTTAGTATAATTGAGTTACGTGTCGGAGGATGGGTTAGTTTGGTTGTAGCATTGGAAAAACGAGCCAAACACACCAAAATTGGTGTGTGCGGCCAGCCAGCCGCACATCGGCTAACCACACACACCTCCAACTGCACACACACTCATATATATATATACTATCCTTGGTCATTTTGATCATTTCTTACACTTCTACAAAGCTAGGACTCAAAAATCCTCTCAAGTATCATCCGGAAAGGTAACATCTTTCACCAAGAACACCAAGAACACCAAGAACACCATGTTTTCTGGCAGCACAAACTTCTGGCAGCACACCAGGCCGCACACCTGGCCTCACACATGTGCTGGCAGCACACCTGGCCGAACACATGGCCGCACACACACATATAGTGTGTATTTTGGCCATACATTCTCTTATATAGCCTTTTAACCCTTCGTACAATCATTTATCGTTGTAACACTTCAAAAGAAGTGTTTACTAGTCCTTAAGGTGGTCCCAATTCGTTAATTAGTTGTTCATAACGCTAATTATATTCATATATGTGCCAATATATGCCAAATAGGATTCGCGTGTGTACTTAAGTCACCACTTGATACTTAGCAACAGATCCAACATTGTCATCAGAACCACTCACTACAGGTGAGTTCATACCCCTAAAATAACCTTTGAAATGTTTTTAAATGCTTTTATAGGGGGGAATACAAGTTGAACAATTTTAGTTATTATATCAATCACATGTGATTAATGACTACCAAACAAATGGTTTACTTTCCAAACTATTTATCAAACTGGTTTACCTCAAATTGTCTTACAAATTCTTTCAATGGTCAAATACTTTTACTTAAACTCTTTTAAACTTATATTATGTGTATCTGTATAAATATAGTTATATAAGTAGGATTGAAAGGACTTAGGACTACTAGTCTACCCTGCTTCCTGTTCTTGTTTGATGTGGTCTTAGGGTATCAAGGTTAGTTGTCCGAAGGTCGT